AACATTCGGGTTTGCAAAAAAGATTTCTCATTATGGATTTAACAAGATCATTTTCTTTAAGTGAGATAAAATGCATTATTATTTGTAAAATAATAATAACTATTCATATAATTGCTTGATTTAAGGTCATTACACTTCTATTCTTTAATATAAGGACATGTTGTTTACAAAGATGTTTCCTAGTTCGGTGTTTGAAAAAAATGATAAGGAGTATATATTATCGATAAGTTATGTTTCGGTGTTATCATGCTTAAAATTTGTATAGATCAATGAGAAATCAATGATTTAGATATTCACCACTTATCAAATAAATTTTTATAATTAACTAACGAAGTGCTTGCAATTTTTTCGGGCATTAAAATATGACACTAAGTGCAAACGGATGAGTAAGCGAGATATTAAGAAGGTAAAATATTGATGTAAGCTATAAGCTGTTAAATTTTAGCTGCGATATTTTGTGATGATAAGTGAACATTGATGATTCAACCAAAGTATATTTCGAGCATTAACATACCGAATAGTTTAGTATTTCAAAATAATAAATGAACTGATACTGTTTAATAGCATCGTTATCTAAGAATTCGCATAATTGGCGCTCCCGTTATAAAATGCGATTAAGCAAATTAAATGCATAACTAGTCCTCCAGTATTCTACCATTTAGTGGAATTTATCGTATTAAGTTTAAGCATTTCAACTACATTTTCACTACAGTGAATATCGAACACTAACTGAATTTCTAAATAAAATGTTACGAATTTTCATTATGGGGTTGTGGAGATTGTTGCCTTTTATTGAAAACATGAATTGATCATTGCTAGATCACGACTGGAGACCTGGAAGCACAGGATTGTGTTTTTGTCCTCGTATGGGACTGATCAGCAGTGTGCATCTACGATCATCAGGGCAGAAATCGAACCCAGAACTTTCAGTCTCACGAGCGAATGCCTAACCTCTCGACCACTGAGGCCCTGTCTAACTTTAATCAATTCAAGATTCTGTGCAACCTCATTCATCGTTTTCGGTGAGTAACTGCCTCACACCCGACAAGGTTGAGCTTCAATTTTCAGGACCTTACACTTGAGCTACGAGAAGTTCCTCACAAAGCCAGTCACTGGTAAGCAAATTAGGCGTTCGCTCTCAGAACCGAAGGTCCCGAGTTCCAATCCTGAGAGGTGCAGGCGTCCTGGATGAGCACTGCTGGTGAGTCCCATACCAGGACGAAACCGTCTTCCAATGCTTTCAGGCTTCTAATCGTGGTCTAACAGTGATTGATTGATTGATGATTTTAATGTGCAAAAATTCCAATTTTCTATCAAATTTATACTTAATTATAATTTAAGGGAAACATTATTTTACTAAACAGGGTGAATATAACATATATGTCCATTTTGACGACTACCATGTTAACTGTAGTAAAAGACATAACTTCTTTAAATATTTTAAAAACCTAGTTGGTGAACTGTCTTTTGATTGAACATTTTTAAGACGAATTACCTTTAATAATTACAAAAACGTTTTATTGAAGCATAAAATACTAATGTTTATACTGTTCATTAACTGTTCAATTTTGTTATTGGGATGTTAAGAGATGTTATCTTAAGTGACTGATAAATGTCTGTTTTAAAGGAAATCTGAATTTTGATCAAAATATTGAAGTCATCTCATAGTCTAATTCTATCATTTTATTTTTTTGACTGAATATTTCATGATTTATATAGCAATCAGATTTAATTCCTATTTAAAAATAATAATGGATTATATCATTATAGAGATTAGTATTATATCACTTTAGAACATTGACTAACAAAATTCATCAGTTTCATTGAAATATACATACAAATGTTCTAGAAGTAAGCATGTGAATGGTTGTCCCTAGATCAATCAGAATTAGACAATAATATCCTTGGATGATGGCCTAGTGGTCCAGAGGTTAGGCGTTCGCCCACAATACCGGAGGTCCCGGGTTCGAATCATGCTAGCTGCAGGAGTAATGGATGCGCACTGCTGATGAGTCCTATATCAGGATGGGACGGCCATCCGGTGCTTCCAGGTTTCTAATGGTGGTCTAATAATGATTGATTGATGATTTCAAATATGTGTTGCTACCGTATTTATTCAATAGAAACGAATTTAAATTAAAAATTAACTCATTTCTATGAACTTACCATATAGAATTAATTAATGTTGGAAAAAAGGCAGGGCCTACAATTTCTTATTCCAAAATAAGATCAAAAGATGCACTTACTTGGTGGTAAATCGAAACCAATTAGCAAAGTACTTAAGTAAATGTTTTAGTATGTGGACAAAAAAATCAACGTGAACATAATTTCATTGACAGTTCACAATTATTTTTCTTTAAGAAGTTTTGTGAATTTCATGTTTATTAAATTTACTGATCAACAAATGCTTTACATGATAAAAGACAACAATCTGTGTAGAAGATCAGCAGACACAAGGTTCAGTCTATTTCTTAACCAACTACCGAAAATAAAATAATTTGCATTCAATTTTGGGTTGAAAACTGATGCACTCTTCATCGAACAAATAGAGACTAAACTTAAGATGGCCAGTACTTTGACACTTCAGTCTAGTGAATATATATTATGAATTCAAAAGTTTTTGGTCTGCTGTAATCAGCATAGGATCCAATAATAGGCCAATTACACTGGGTACATCATCTTTGAACCGCTGATTTATAATTCAGTAATCCAAATTTTTACGTTTAATCACTTTGCAATGGCGGTGTTGTGATTGCTAACATTTAACGAGTTCAGTACTGTGTCAAAATATCTGTTTAATGCAGCCAGATATTTAATAATTTTTTAACTCAGTATCAATCTGTAATCGAAGCCGAATTCATATCATGACGATTTTTTTATTCAAAAGCGCCAGATTTTTTACCTTATATTTCTTTATTGTAAACAACAAAACATCAATCTCCTGGATAAACTCTTCTGGTTGAATACTCTATGTATCCATTTTTGTATCATAAAATAAATGCATAGCCAATACACTATACCCATTTTAAATAATAAACTACAGAATAATTTCAGTGAGCACAAGTAACATAATCATCACAATTCTTTTATATTACAGAAAACTGCAGAACCTTTATATTATGAAAATGAAATAAGTTTGCACTCAACGGTTTTAATGGATATTTTTAATGTTAATCGAATTGAGGAAAAGACTCAGTTATTATCCACAAAATAAGAAACAGCTAACAGAATTGTTGTAATCTCAACAAGAGCACTTAAATTATCAAATATGTATTTAGAATATTATAATGAAAGTCTGCAGAGATTGTTCAGACTGATGCTTATTAACATTAGTTAACTTAAATTACTTTTTCATTTGACGTTATAAGCACTAAACTTTTTAAATTAGTGTTAATTAACGTGATTATTTAGTAGTTAGTAGTTTGTAGTCAAGACCGAAGGTCCTATGTTCGAATCCTGCGAGTATCAGGAGTCGTGGATGCGCACTGCTGATGAGTCGCAGACCAAGACAGAACGGCCATCCAGTACTCACAGGTTTCTAATGGTGGTCTAACAATGACTAATTGATTATTTCAGTGTGTAAAAACACAAATCTCCATAACTTTAATTGAAAAATATTATGCTTCCTGTTTGCCCATAATCTTACAACTGATCATGGAATTCGATTTATCAACGAAGTGTACTTTAAAGTGTTCCTGTCACCTTGCAAATACACTCTCAGTTATTTGATAAGCTCAATAAAAAACTGTGTTTATTAAAACTAACTGTTCAGCAGTGATTTTGCCCAGTCTGGCTAAGCTATTCGTTTCCATCAATCATCTTTTATATTTGATTTCTCTTACATAAATTTCTATCTCTTAACTCAATTTTTTATTTAAATCTTTTAACGAATATTTTCAATGCTTCTCAATTGTTTGCACAATTTCTGGTAATCTAAACTCTCCTTATAAATTTTTACAACCGAATTTCTATATTACATAATATCGTTGTTGTGAAAAAAAGAATGATATATAGTCATTTCTTGCTTCTGGTTTAAGTAAATTCACTTTCTACTGCAAGTATAGATTTGTGATCGTCGAGTATTAGGAACGCTTCAAATATTTTTTTAATGAGAATGAAATAAATATACTAAATTATTCGCACAAACTGATTGACAAAACTACTCAATGTTTATTGTGATTTCCTTCTATCAAGATAAAATTTGTAAATAATTTTTGTTTGTTTCGATTACCTAATTGTCTATGGTCGAAATTCACCAGTTTGATCAAGGTCAATAACAGCAGTTGTTTAATTTCACTACTCAGGATTAATTTGAATTATTTATTGGTTACTGATTGTCTAACTACATGAATATATGCATTTATATGATTAGTTTTTGTTCAATCTAAACCAACACATTTTTGTTTAAATGTTATTTGCCGTAAATGTTCATCAGCTCACATAATAGGTCAACAAATAATTTTCACAGATTCCCACTCCATAAACTACGCATAATTAGATTTTGTGCTATTTCTTTTTATCTCTTTTTCATTAAACATGTCTAGTAAATTAATTTATCCACATTTTCCCCAACCAACTAACTTTCAGCATTAGACACATAATAATAGTTTATCAATGCAATGATTTTTATATCAAGGACAGAAGGGACTTTGCTGACTTATTATTTCTAATTCCAGAAAAACATGATTGATGTATTCAGTGAATCAAACTTTCATTCCCGAATTCGTAACAATTTTTTTTCATTTATATGCTAAATCAGTGCTCGAATTTGAACGAAACATTAATCAAATAAACTTCCTGCAAGGTGATTAACACAATACTATGGCCATAAAATATTCTTGCTTTACACAGATGATTGATGAAATCGAACTAACAACTGTGTTCTTTATTTTCAGTCCTAAGATTTGCATAATTGTCAAACAGAACAATCTCAAACAGTAGTGATTCTAGAAATAACAAGTTTCATCAAGAATATTATCTTTTTTTATTTAAAAAATAGCATTTAATTTTCTTTACAATTGTAAATATTGTTTTATAATCATTGGAGATGAGAAGAAATATGGAAACTAAAACCAAAATCATACTAAAAGAAAACAGTAGAAAAACATAAAAATAACGTTGTGAAATCTGAAGTAGTCATTTTTGAGCATTGAAAATATTTATCTGGTCTTTACTTCAACTTTTGAATAATCTGTTTACTTTGTAACTATAAACATTGCTTCCGGATGTGATCCTGATAGTGATGCATACTTGGAGTTACATTGATGCGGTTGTTCTACACAGTGAATAGTTTGAACTTATTCAGTACAGTAGCATTTTGATGAGGTATGAAACGTTTTTGATGGCAAACGATTTGAACGTGGTGAGTATAATGTTAAGCTAGAAGCTTGTAAGCATTTACATGGTACGATGCTTTCTGGTTCATTCAGTGTATGTTTTATGATAGTTTGATGTAGGGGGTCCACATATTCCGACCTGAAAATAATTCGTAGCGTTAAAGGTTACAGTTAATTTATGTTTTTGATAATTATATTTGTAAAAATCATTTACATACTGTCTAATTTCGTTTAAAAGGGTACCTGGTGTCCATTTTAATGTAGTATGCTGCAAATGTGCAAATCACTATCATTTATGAAATATATTGTAAAAAAATGTAATATGGATAGACTACTCTCCAGGATTCGTACTAGTCGAATGGATTTATAGCAATGGATTTATAACAGACTATATGCGAGGTAATTCCTAGATTTCACATATTTCTCTTCCTGATAACCGTTAATGGAAAACTCCCAACAACGTTAAAATTTCAGAAGACGAGGCGCTGACTACCGTCGACTGTCGCACAGCACAGATAGCAAAACTACAAGCACATGAAACGAATACTAACAGATGAGCAAATGTTGAAAAACGAATAAATATGATTTGAGCCGAAGACCTAAAAAATAATCTAGTTTAAACGATACGTGGATATCATAATCCTCAAAAATCATGAGAGGACTGGTACGCAGGTAATTAACTGATATTCTGCCTATTGTTACCCATTGCGCACCTTTAATCTAAGGAAGATATCGATGCTGATGTACTTAAAACGCATCTGCAGAATTCAATTCAAAAGATATTTATTGCGAAAATATCCATTTTTCCTCCGTAATCTGGCAATTGTGTGCTTGCGAAGACTAAATAGTGAAGCATGAATGGGGCAGTCACTTATTCTTTACTTTAGCACATCGTTAAGCAACACTTATCAAAGAACAGTGCAGATCATTTAAGCTCACTGTTTCGCAAGGTAAGGTAAACTGAACACATTTACCACAAAATTATCCGTCTAATTTCAGAAACGTACAATGAATCTCACAGTCCTTAGCTTCAGAATTCGATGTCAGAGTTGCAAACCGTTTCCATATCTCTATTTTTTAACCATGGCTCAAATTTAATCATATTTTCTTTTTACGTTATTTTTCAGAATGTTTTGATTTCCTCTTCTTGGAAGTGATTTTTGAGTTAAAAATCTTTGATTCTTATTCATATTGAATATCATCAATCTTAACATTTAGACTGATTTTTATTCATAACCACTATGTATACTTGAAACAAATGTATACCTACTAACTTACAAAATTATATTCAATTTTCTGACCAGTAATCAAACAAAAACATAAAAACTTTTATTTAACTGATAATTTCATATTTAGTTTACAGTTGAGTAATTTTATACAATGAACTTATTGGAAATTTTTCTTTCTCGGAACTCATTGTTATGTTGGGTTGATGAGATATAATCAGACCGACTGAATGAAGTCCAAATCATTAGAATCCGAAATGAAAATTGTTTCCTCTTTATTTGTAATTATTTTGTAACAATTTCATAATTTTCTATTCTATGCAACAAATATCCAACTTACGATACATACAATTCAAATATAATTTCATGGTCTACTCCAGATAAAGTCTGACAAAAAGTCGTGTGTTATAAGTTGATTCTTGAAAATACTTTTTCGTTTAATGGTAATATTTCATCATGTATCCATGTGAACTTGAGACATCCAGTGGGAGTGTGTTACTGATTACAGATTCTTCGTTTGTACTTAGTCAAGAATTCATATTTATTTATTTACATGTTACAGTAAACGTTACACTTTAAAAAAATACAAGTCGGAATCCAGTGGTTCGTTTAAAGGCGTTTGATTAGTTTATTAGTAGTCTAATATATATAAATAAAACTGGGTATTATTGTATGTTTTTGATATATATAAGTATCAATTAAAATTTTAGAGATAATAATGTCTTGTCTTATTGGAGGAATAAAACTTAATGTACGACCATGAGTAATCATAAAGTGAACCTGTGAAAATCTGATCAGTTTAGTAGACTTAAAATAGAATTAGAAGTGAAAGTATGAAATAAGGATGATGACTTTGGTCATGAAGCTATATCAGTAATAATACAAGCATACTTTGTAGCAATACGGATTAATGAACTTTGCTCGAAAAATTCATCTTACATCAAATTGGTTTGCGCATAAATTTTAGTTCCATCATGTACGATAAATGCAAAATTATTCAGGTAGATGTTAACGTACCTCAAAAATTCAGGTGTCATCACTGCATAATGTTTGTCTGAAACAAAGAATAAACAGATAGAAGAATATAATGACAGAAAAATCAATTTTCGATAAGTGAATAACACAAAACATGCATGCAAAAATATTTTGATTCAAAATTTTTAATTATAAACAAACATGTAAATCGATTCAGTTAGTGTCACTGTACAAATAAACACAGATAACTTATGAACTGATAAAAACATGTATCAGTTTGCCATACATTGAGCAATACTATGTTAGAAAAAGTAAACTGTTCGTTATTCACAAATGCAAAATATAAAAGTAACAAATGATTTTGACAAATCAAGTAATGATTTTAAAGTGCCATATCATTAAAACTTTTAAGAACTTTTCAGCATTTTGTGACTGACTCAAAGCTATTACACAGTATACCATAGCTTTCAACATCACTTATGACAATGCATTATTTTTTTAAGTCATCTCTAGTTGGATCAGAAAATTATATCAAAGTATAATTAATACACAATGATTTGATAGACAAATAGTGAATTTTAAAGTCAGTAACAATCTCTTCATTAGTTAGTACATTCTTCATTTATTTCTAATTCCAACTGGCTGGTAAAAAGTGTATTTTGATTGAAACAAGTATATCTAACTTAGAGTGTGAACTTTTCGTCAATGGTTTTCCATATGCATCTTCAAATGGTGAAAACAACACAATTAACTCGATTAAACAACAGATAGTAAAAAGTGTAAGAGAACCAGAAAAGCAAGGAATTTACTGGACAGGTTGTATTATCTGTCAGTTATTGAAATATCCTTAACAATCTATGATACAATAACTGGATGACAAATAACAGTTTCAAAGTCCATTTAACAGAAAATGATGATACATCTTCCATGGACGTGTTTTGTATTTTTCCTATCTGAATTGATGTCTGATAAGTTTGAATGAATTATCACTATCAATTACTTGAATGTGGCGTTGACAATGCAAAAATATAAATGATATGTTTTCCGGTAGTACACGATTGTAACCAATGAAGAATATTTAAACTAATGTAAATCAATTGAAAAAGTCAATACTAATTGATAAAACTCAAAGTAAATCAACATGATTTTACTTATCTTAATCAATCCTTGTAATTACTTGAACACTGTCATGATGATGGCCATGTGCTCATGTGTGGACATTGTAAAGAGTTTGTAAGTGTAGTTCACTAATATTATACATGTATTTGTTGTGTCTCTAATATCAGTGAAAATACTTGCAAAAATTAATTCTATGTAAACATTTTTATAAGGTTTTTTTCTAAACTTCGCAAAAACAATTATTCTTAAATCTCTTGTTACATCAAAAAATAACAGTCAACATCAATAACTGAATAAAAGTAAATTTTTAAAGATGCAATATTAACTTAGCCTTATTGTTTGTACAATGATATATTTTAGAATTAAATGATGTGTGTCAAAATTATTATCATACTTGTTAAATGATTATCCGTTTCCTCTGCTACATCTTCAGTATTCCAAACATTTTCTAAATTTGTATTTTCTATACCAATTATCTGTGGATTTTTTTTAGTGTCCGGAGAATAATAAGCTGAATTTTTACAACTAGATAAAATTAAATATACTTGATCACAATTCACATGTCCAGTTTGTACTTGACATTCAAGTGAATGATTTGAATTGAAAACTGTTGTGTTCATTGAATGTTGTTCAGGATGTTGTGAATTCAAATAATGATTTAAATGTTCAAATTTACAATCACAGCAATCATGATTCATGCATGCATCTAATTTGCCATCATCGATCGGTATTGATTTCTGTGTGAATTCATTGAGTACATAATTTGAATTATATAAATCAAATGAATTGCACAGAGATGTCTGATTTGCTTGATATTGATTATTTAAAATATGCACATTAGATGATGATGTTGCAACAATATGCTGTTGATGATACTGATTTACGGACTTCTTCGTGTTCTTCTTTCTCTTGCTTTGTAATTGTATTTTAATTTTTTTGAATGATTTTCTTAATAATATAAACGTTAGAATTAATATAATCAGTAATGAAATAAAAATTAGGCAAAACACATACCAATGAGTTCGAAATTGTTCATTTGTTAAATAATTAGGACTGAAAATGCTAGAGTTTTTCAATGTTGTCATATTAATATCATGTAATTTTACATGAATAGAATTTTGTGCATAATTTTCTAATGATTCAAAATATGCTTGTCTAATTGCTTTGTATATAAGATAACGTTCATAATGAAGAGTTTGGTTGAGTGCATTTAAGATGGATGCTATAATAAAGAAAACAATCAGCACAGAATAAATTAAACGTTTGTTACGTTTACAATTTTAAATAAATCTAAGATTAACACGATACTGGGAAGCTGTAAATTATTCGATTTGAAATAGGATTGATCTATTTTCTCAAAACATTCATTTTATATAAGAATTTATAAATGCCTATTTCAATTTTTTCTCTATCGTCTGACAAAAGTCTTAACGTCAGAATGGTATTTTCATGATGAAATATGGGGCGAAATTTGAAATTGTATCTCGGTATCACAATTTTCGTTATTTGAGCGTAAATAAAACTATATTTAAATGATTTACATGATGCCATCTCTACTTGAGATATTGATGGTAATGCTCAATATTATTCTCCAATAAATTTATAGTGGATTCCTTGAAATATCATATAGCTATGTTCAGTAGAGCCACGGACACGATGCTGTTTTTAAATACAAGCTTTTTTGGAATGCGTTCCAGTCCCACTAAGTACTACACATTCCTAAGCAATTTGTCTACATTGATTCTTAAACTAATGATAGAGAATATGTTTGTTGGGCTCGCAAAAAACTACTGTTATTTTCCGGGTTTCACTAGTCATGGTGGGTTAGAGTATGATGAAATATCTCCACCAACTTAAGTACTTATTGACCCGCATTTGTTTTGAGCTAAGGTATTTAAATGTTAACTAAAAGCAGAGAACATTGTGTAACTTTCCTCTCTGTCTGTAGATATAAGAGATGGCGCATGAAAGCGGAAGATACATTTTATTTTTCTTTAGATAATGAGTTTCAACCGAACTGGAAACATAATTTTGTTCTCACTCCTATTCTCAGACAATATTTTCACCTAGTTATCTTCTTCAGTGTCATGGAATTCATTACTGCTTCGACCCCGTCGTTACACGTAATTCTGATTTAAGTGTGTGTGGACTCAGTGTTGTGGGAATCAGCATTAGCTAACATTTTTGTCAGCATCATTGCTGATTATGAACAACTGATCGACATTAAAATTCATTTTTCAATTCCATACTGCATACAAATTATACAACAATCAGTGAAATCGAAAAGAAAGACTTACGTAATAAAGGGTGTTTAATGATTATTTCATTGGATGGTTCGCTAACAGACGTTAAACCAAAAGATTTTACACGAAATCTCAATTCATACACTAAAGAATTATCATGTAATTTGGTTAAAAAAGCATTTAATTCATTATATTCAACAGCTGTTCTGATTGCATCATTGTCAACAGTTAAATAATCATTTCTGTTGTATTCTTCCAATAGAAATATTTGGTTATTGTTGAATTCAAAAGTTAATTTAGGATAACGTACTGGTGCTAATGACTTCCATTGATAGACATAATTATTACTGTCAGTACAATTACTAATTCCCAATAAGTTTGTTTTAAGAAGTGTACAAACAATAAATTCCACTTGAAAATATGAAATAGACTCCTCTGACTTTTCATTGTGTTTTTGTTGAACATTTGATTGAATTAATGAAATTTGTGGATTCCCTTGAACTTCCCATGTGAGAATGCTACTATATTGTTCAGTTTGAATTATTTGTAGTTTTAATGATTGTGGAGACGGTGGTTTAGGTGAATCTATTCCTGAGATACATGAAAAAATGTTACAAAAAATATGAGATTCATTAGCTCTTAACTTCTTCAGAAAAAAAATTTATTTGTTGAAATCTATGGATACATTTCATTTACTTATAAGATACACAAGTTTTAAATGTCCTAAATTAAAAAAAAATGTATATCTGTTAGTTACTAAGACGAATAGAATGAGTTGAGATTTTCTTCACTTCACTGGAAGATATTTCAAAATGAATGACCGTACAGCTTCATAGTAACCCTAATATTAAGTGGAAGTAAAAAATATTTTCAAACTAAGTGTTAGGACATTTAACCGTAGTTAGTGCTACAAGCTTAAGTGTTAAGTGGAAATAAGTATTATTAAAATGTAATATTGTAACGTTCGTCACTAGGTACGCTTGAAGCTATTACGAGTTCACCTTAGTCGATAAACGCGAACGAGACAATTACCAGCGTCCAGGTAGGCTACCTTGAATCCCAAACTGCAAATCAGAAGTCTTGGTAAGCGTAGAAAGTATATTCTACAGCACCCAGCAATCACAATACGAGCAAGCACACAACTCTCGTTTATTTATACATCATAGAAACATCCTTAGGATATTCAAAAAAATAGCACACTGAAATACACAACAGTCAATCACAGCCATGGATTTTCCTAGTGGGAAATGAGATCTCAAGGTCAAATGATCAGCCCATCCTCGCAAATGTGAAATCCAAGATAAGGCATTTATCAAACGAGTTATGGGGATCTAACATCCCCAACAAATATATAAGCTTCACAAGGATGACTAATACTTATGACTGATCATTAAGCGTACCTATGATTCTGAATATTTTCTTTATCACTGGCATTTCGTTCTGCTCAATGATATACAAACAGAAACAATGCGCATACTGTGAATGGTTTACACTTTATGGAATGACATTTCCCACTATTTTTTTTAATGTCCATCCTTAATCACCTTCATAATAACCTCAATTAAATTTGCCGCTAATCGCTTTAAATCTTTTATCGATATGGTAGGATAGGAAAAAGTGTTAAAGTTGGTAATATACAATAATTCATTAGTCGTAAAAATAATGACAAAAATACCTTCCATTTCGTTGATTAAGTCAGAGAAGAATTTTTCATTTATAACAAATGGAATCGCTTCGATAGTGCAGAAGTTATTTTTCATGTCATTTCCTAAGTTTCACAAAATTTCATTTTAAGCATTTCTGAAACACATCCTAGTTGATATATGTTTCCCTAAACTGAGCTTCACTTTCATCCGGACATATGAGACAGTTCACGAATTCATATCATATGATGAAACCGAAAATAACATGAAACAGTAGTTCTCCTACAATTATTGGTTAGCGTTAGAAATGTTGGTAAACAAAGTAATTATTGGTTGAAATGATAAAAAAGCAAACATTATAAAGTAAAAATCATAATTTAAGTATGCTGGATAAAATCAATAAAACATCTTCAATATTCAATCATCATTTCCAATATTTTGAAAGGTTATAGTTTGACATTTTTTCTTATCGACTCATCAAAACATCGGATCATGAGAAGACGATACAGAAAAAAAAAGATTAGTTGTTCATAAATCTTTTGTTTTCAGTAAGACACTATCTACACAATAATGAAACTGAGACAATACACGGATGATTTTTTTAATAAATATTCTGCATTCATTCAATTTTATTGTTATTTGAGCTAATTAACTTGATGAAGCAGATAATCAGTCATTGCAAAATAAAGGCACAAAAAGCTGATTGTGCAAACTTCGATTTCGTTGACATCTGATTTTAAATAACTTCGCACACATAACGCTGTGCAGAAATCTAGGATATAGCGCGATACTCACACTTTTAGACTAGCGATTCAAGAGCCCATGGTTTTAACTTTACTTAGTCCCTACTCTTGACAGCTAACTCCACGTAGAGCACTTCTAAGGTTACTGCCGCTCTCGACCCCGGACGATAGAGCACAGTTCGACATGGGGTTAGTGACGCCATCCCATAGAAGGCTGATTCGCTTTAAAAAATTCATCAAAAAAGTTAGACTGTTTATTTATTTATTTGAAATAAGAGTAGTGATCAATGAAAAATGATCTTGACAACTATTTATCAGTTTGAATAGTATATGTATCTACAAAAATAAACATAATTTCATATACCATCAGTGGAGTGCAATTATCACTAAGATCCAGTAAGTGCATTTTGTTCTATTTGGGACCAACTAGCTCGACGTATCTACTTATTAGGGAGGTTTTAGAACTCTTTTACCAATCACTACAAATATTTGACTTGACCATTTTTCATAAGTTAGGTACTGCATAAAATGTATGATATGACAGAAATGATCATACATTTTTAATATCCTAAACTACTGGAATGGTCGTTTTAGTAGGCGAAGTGAAATGCATTACACTAGACAAACGTATCTAAAAGTTTAACATTTATTACTATATTGTCAATAATTTTATTGTAAAAATAAAAGTCCGTAGGCATATTTCAGCAAAAATGTTTCCTTAGAAATATTTCTTATAAAGATCAAATATATTACTACCTTGTTCGAGCTCCCAATATTGGGTATTGTTATTCATTAAAGTTGATTCAGCACTGTTATCCAGTGGTAACTGAGTTCTAGTTAGTACAGTGGAACTACTCGAATGATTATGGTTCGATTGTGTGCACCAATGACTTATTCGGAAGGCATATAATTCATTTGGAATTAGTCCATGTAATCGTATTTTACTAGCGTATTCTGGTTGTATAACAGCTGAAAGTAAAGAAGCGACATAGAATGAAACAAAACAATAAAAGTTTACAATATATTCGATGACAATTAAAGGAACCATCCATTTAAACTCAAATGATTAGGAAATTTTGATAGAACATTGAGAAGACGTAATTGATCTGAAAAATGTGATGTATTTGCGCGATACATTTCGAACAATCTGGTCACACATATTTACTTGTTAAGGCATTTTATATGAAGATTACTAAAAGGTTAATTAAATAAAAGTTGAAATAGACACGAAATGATAAGTGTAAATAAAGGAGAAAGAAAATTAACACAATATGAAAAGAATAAGAAAGGGTAGGAAATTGTCACATTACCCTAGGCTTAAAGATTACCAGAGTAAATTCAAGGTTATAACAAATTGTTTTGGTACACATAAGGGCGGTTTGAATTTACGAATAGCCAAGGTTTCCATAAACCTCAAAATTCGTCCTTCAACATTTCTATTCAATGTTTTGAAGGATGTCAATCTTTTACCGTCTCAATTATAAGTTTTGCGTGCAATGAACATGGTTTTCTATTTCCAATGCTGATTGGCTCATCTGACGTTAACTGATTTTGCAGCCACTAGTTGCATGTTCCATAACCCTTGATTGCAAAGTTCGATTACTCCTCCCTATGTATGTGTGTCCACACAAACATGTAAATTGATAAATGCAGTGGGATGTGATGTAATCATCCGAGCAACGTTTAGGTATATGCGAAATCATGGACTTGGTCTTTTCAATGATAATCAGTTTAGCAGCGTTGTATGTTTTCTCTATGGCTGCTTTTAGTCTCTGTCTTATTATTAGAGCATTTGCTTCACCTCTATGCTTTATAGTTCCATTTTACCTTCGACTCAACAGTATGTCTATAAATTGTTGTTAAACGGGTTTTCAATTCAATTCATATGGACCAGGAAATAAATCTTTGTTTTTGCACTATGTTGATAATGAATAATGACAGAGGAAAAATTAATATTTTCATTTCGTGCACAATAACCCAAAATATCAAATCGAATTGAAATGCATGAACACTTGTCTTCTTATATTTCTGATATTTTCTTCACCCTTTTACTGAATTCTTTTATTTTGTGATAAAGATGTAGTTAATGATGAACAAGAATAAAACTTTTAGCAGAATAAGATTCATTCGTTTTATTTCGTTTGGCTTTCGTTAGAACTCTTCAACAACGCTCACCTCAAATTAAAATTTACTATGGAGCACAAGAAAGATGAAATGTTTCACTTTCTCAATGTTGCCATACAACAAAGAACAGATGGAAGAATTCGACAGTCTATTTTTATCGGACAAGTACTAGGAATGATCTTTACGAGAATGTCAACAGTTGTTGTTCAATCAATTACAAGAAAACGTTGGTTAAAACAACATTTTATAAAGTTAGAGGGATATGTACCTCTGAAAAACTGAAAGGAAAATTTTGATGAAAGTTTACAAATGCCTAATAGACAACTGCAAATCATAGAAATTTACTTACAAATTGAAAAAAATCTGAAAACCACATCAAGCATGGCTACATTCAACGAAAAACCCAAGATTTTTAACTCTTAACCTGAAAGGTGATAATGTTGCAAACACAATCAACAGTAGGCTTAACAGTAACTACGATTAGCTCGGCAGCCAAACTGTTAAAATTGTACAAAACAACCAGTTCATTAATCTAGGAAAAGGTTGACAAGCAACCCTTCCATATTTTCGTGTACCGGCCAAAGCAGCCACATTGTCTGAAGAGAACGGAAAGCCTGCCTTAGGTTTTTTAAACATGTTCCTAAAAGCCTTTGAATAAAAGAAAGATCTACTTTAAACGATGCATTTATCAAACTGGATTTTATTCACTCTAATAAAATAATTTACACCCTTACTATACTATACTGATTTATAAAGATAAAAACTTCCAACTAAACTGTTTCATGTAAATAATTGAGATTTTAAATATTATAGGTGGTAAGGAGCTGACGAGAACCAGACGAAATAAAATGAATTCATTTTACCTCGCTCATATCTTCTATCTTGCTCTCTTCAAGATGATAGCGGGTTAGCATCAACGTGAGATACTAACCGTCACAGGAAGATCAAATATGATAGATAACAAATCTATCAACTTTAGCACAATATATCCTATATTTTGTAAAAGTTTCGTACTAAAGGAAGCATGTTTTTTTAATGTTGGGATGAAGGCAAATAAACTAAATTTTTCTACATGATGAAGAATTTTTATTTGATTAGTTAAAATTAACCTGTAATTTGTACACAACAAGGAAACTATTAAACAGTCCTTCAAAGAAGTGTTCAACACTATTTTCATACAGTTTTTCCAATTAATAAATCTGAACGGATATATATATATATATATATGGCTGCTATGAAGTAAATCTTATCATTTTACTGAAATGATTCATTATAGCCTGAGAGTAATTTGTATAGATGGCATGAAATACTCACTTGCGATCCATTCATCTCCTGATCGAACCAGTGAATGATATGTCACATAATAGCATTGTTTTTTGATGGAATCAACAGTAGTTTCAGAATGCAATATGGCAGGTAGTTTAACTGTATTCCAAGATAATATTGCAGAGTGTATTAAAGGTTTGACATGTAAAATTATATTGTTAGGACGTTTATCAAAAATCTGTATTGATTGGTCTTGTTTTATTTCAACGGATGTTATAATATAACCAATAGAATTTTTTGCAATACAAAAATACTGTCCGGTAACTTTTGAAGCATTCCAAGTGTAGATTAGCAGACTTCCATCTGGTATTTTATTTACACCACTAGGTAAAATGACACTTAAGATTGGTAGTTCATTAGTCGTCTTATCATTTTCAAATGAATATTGATCACTATGATTAATAGCATTGTTAGATTGTTGGGTGATATCTTCTTTGTTGCCAGTGAGATCGTGTTCTCGGCTTATCACAGAATTCTTTATTGCTATCTTGTATGTGTTATTGTTTAAGCTTATTACCATAACAGATTTTGATAAATTACTATTTTGTTGATTTAATTTACTCTAAAAACAAAAAGCACAAGAATCGAGAAGAACACTGAGGAAGAATTTTGGGGTAAGTAATCATCGATCAATCAGTACGAAAGAAATAAAGATTGGTTTTTTTTGTGTTTAGTACTAATCTAAGAATAGTTGAATGTTGAATGTTTTATCATTATCACTACACTGAATGTGAACAAATGATGATATGTTGACAGTTTATCTTATCTTAAAATGATACACTAAAATGCTTGTCAACAGATAGTTCAAGTTATTAGATTGTATCTACAAAAATTATTTTGTTCTGAGTTAAAACTATTTCTATGGTTCTCAGTGGGCATTGCAAACTACTTTTTTTTTCTCTATTCATGAAACATCAGTTTTGCTATAGACTCGGATAAAATGTTCATTATACACTAATGTATACTTTTTTTATTATTCGAGGGCTATGACGTTATTTTATTAATTGTTATTTAGAATCATGATATATATATATATATATATATATATATATATATATATACTACTCTTTTTGAGATGGTGGAGAAAATTTGTACCTCAGGTGGATGATTGTGGTGGTGTTTTGTTCTCTGAGCTGGTTGTTTTGGTTGTGGAGCTTTCATTGTTCTTCTGAACAATATCATGCTTCACTTCTATCTGAAGTTTGTGCTGATTATGTTGTTCAGAAGAACAATGAAAGCTCCACAATCAAAACAACCAGCTCAGAGAACAAAACACCACCACAATATATACTACTCATAAATGAATTTCTGCTCATCTGATATGAAAATTATTCTTCGTTGGATCAATTTACAATGTTTGATATTATAATGATTTCAAAAAAAATTAAATCATAATTAACATACATAAAACCATTGAACTGTTGGTTTAGGTTGTCCATAAGCTTCACATGGTAATATTAATGGCATATTGTTCCTTACGAATTCAATTAAATTTGGCGTCCTTATAAATCGAGGTAATTCTGCGGTAAAAATAAAATGAAAATTTGAAATTTTAGCACGACCCTTGTTATTAACCGTGATTCCATGGAATATAATTATTATTTAAGAATTAATCATAAGTGTTTAGTGCATATATTATATCTGATTTGAAGTTAGCATTGGTATAAACTACTTGAAATGTCTTACAGTCATTGCTATTCATGAAAGATGTTCGTTTACATTTAATTGTCTCAATTAGATCAGTCAAACAATACTTAAGTTTCCATATCGTTTGTTGATACCCTATTAGTAAAGAGCCTAAAAGTCGTCTGTGAGACTCATGTTGTGAGAGGTTGCCGGAAGAGTTGATAATTTGAATAAACACACACTCACAGACACACTTTGAAAGAGTATTTTTATCATAGCTGGTTGCGAAGTGTATAGATGACAATGTACGGTCATATTGTACACATATTTTTTCAATGAACCTTGTGTATCAACATTCATTTCTGTCTTCAATTATTTTCGTGATTATCAAACAAGACTGCCTAGAATAACGTTGTAGTTATGAATTTTTTTTAATTGGTTGATCAAGAATTTCGTAAATATAAGTGTTTTTTGTAAAACTGTTACATAGTACTACTAATGAATAACGTAATAATGCTTTCCTACTGATTTGTTTTCTGATTACGTAATGCATTTTAAAGATGGTAGAAAAGTAAGACATTAGTGAAAAGTGATAAGAAAGCCTGAATATTGCTTGCATAGACTTTAAATGTGATTGCTTCTAGTCTCATTTATCACAATTTATGTATCAGCATTTAATTGTTGATTGTTGATTCAATATGAGAATACTAGAAAAAAAATTATTGATCATTTCTTTTCACGTGTTCACTCATTATTACAACATACTTTCTTTAAAAATAAAACAACTGACATTTCGATTTTCCAAACTTCATTTCAGCATTAAACATGAAATCAATGTTTTATTTTTGTTAGTTTAGATAGTAAAAATTAAAATATTTTCTATTTGAAATCATCATCCATCTCCTCCTACAAAATAAACTCACCATTTACAATCACTTGTAGATTTGGCGACCATGAACTCCATCCAATTGTATTGCGAGCTCGACATTGATAGAATCCAGCGTCATTTTCTTTTACAACATCCCATTCATACCAATAAATCGTGAAATACTATGAAAAAAGAAGTAACAAGTGTGTAAAAAAGAGCTGATTCAAAAATATTTTTTCAATGAAAAATTCATATAATTCTTGATTAATTTCTTTGACATTATTCCCATTTAAAATGATAATCTATTTTTTTTCACTGACTGACAGCGTTCATGCTGCGATTTCAAATCAGAGTTAATTAAGTAACCGGTATTTTCGAAATTCAATTATTCATTAGCTTATGATGAAAATCATGTTGAATTTTTAGCAGATTGATCAGCTGTTAAAAATTCATTGTTCAGTTATTATACAATTAGTTAATCAATTTCATTTTGTTTTAATCATATAGATTAAATAAATATACCTCAGTTCTCACTTGAAATAAAATTCGAGGTTACTTGTTAAAATTAGACTTAATTACACCAGGTTTCCTGTCTACTGTCCAAACATGTTTCTTAACTTGTATTTTAGAATTTTACATGGAAAAAAAATGGAGATTAAGGAAATTTCTAAAGTATTTTATATTTCGAATTCCTAATAAGTATAGTATTCAACGGACATTTAGCAATGTATGATTTATTTTTCTTAAGTTTATAAGTTGTCACATGTTTTCTGTCTAGAATAACCTTTATTTTTGTTGACATCTAAACAGTATCGATGAATAAAATGTTATAAAGTACTTCAACGCATGCTTCCCGCATAACAAACTGATGAAGATATTGTAAGTAATTTATTCTTTAATATCATTAGTATCTTATTAGAAACTGATGTTCCATATGGCGAAGGAATATTTTCAATGAAACTTACATAATTAAATTTATTTTCATCTATTTAAACACGTAAAAATTGGTACAAAGGAGCATCTAAATATATATATATATATATATATATATATATATATATATATATGCCATACAAATAATTGAAGATGTGTGTGGGTTGATCTACTGCTCAGGTGCCCAAACCGAAAAAGCTAGTTTTATTATGCTGCCATTTCCTGAGTCTTTGATCTACAGGTCTAATCGTCAAAACAGTGACGCAACGTTCAGTGATACAGTACCTTGGTATTCAGTTATCAACAAAAGATTTATTTCTACATGGTTGTGAATCTCATGCGCAGCACTGGTTTGAAATAAGGGTCTTTCAACTCCCCTAGGTAGATAATCTAAATCCATCAGTCCGGTTTAAGCCTTTACCGCACAGTTGCACTTCGTACTCTCAGTTTCTTAAATATGAAGTCCGCCAAGAGAAGGCAGTGAGTAGGACTTCCCTGATAGTGGCTATATATGTGTAACTATATGTGAACATAAGGAGATGGAGAATAGCCCATTCCTACCCTTAGCCGTACCGGAGCATTTGTAGATATAATTAAATCACTCTATCTAACACTGTAATTAAAGGCAATCTGACATATAAACTAGATCTATTGCTCTAAGAATTAAATGAAATGCTCAACTATGGGTTAGTCTAAAACTATGTACTATCTAATACTGAATATTGTACCGTGCACGGTATATCGGTATTACAGCTGCAGTTCCCCATCATCGGTTTCAGTCTTTTTAGGAGATTCTCTACAAATTTCACTGGCAACTTATTGTCACTTAGGAACAGTTCAAATAATATATGTTAGGAGTGTGACAAATACTTATTATGAGCGCTGATGAATAATAAACATAAATGAATTGTGCTAAAGGATAGTTTAGTAAAGTCTGGAATAATTTATTTTTAAATGGCTGCTAAATTAGGAATTTCGGTTACCCTTCAAAATCACAAACATTTCATCAATTATTGCAATCGTCGAAAAAGTAACAATCTGTAATTCATTATTCATTAGTGAGTTTCCTGGAATTATCTTCACTGGTGTAAGCCTACTTTCAATTTAGGCTTTAAAATTACTTTATAGCCATGAGATATTGAATTCATGAATTTCAATACATTGTATTCATTTTGAAGAGTATGGAATTGTATTAATTGTTCTTGAATTAACTGACTATTCAGTGTTAGTTTAGTGATGTATTGAGCAACTGAATTTCAGATCTTCACACATGGCCACCACTTAAATATGTAGGTATTTTCTTCCATTATTCAAGTCTTATTTTTAAATGTCAAGTAATCTTTAAGATTAGTGAAACATTTTCGAAACGATACCTTTAACGGAGAAATTCAATTTGTACTTACCGAACTGATATTTTCATCTCTTAAAAGTTGTTCAACTGGTAAAATTGTACCTTTACTTTTCGAATGTTTTTGAAAAGAATTCATTATCACATTGGAATGTGCTTTTGTTGATGAATTCATTAATTTACGCCATTCAATTAGATCAATCGATGGAGTTGCATCTACAATACACGGAATACGTCCTGGACCATTTCTACCCAAGTATATTGGATTTATAGAGTGGTTGATTTGAACATTTGGAATGTCTGTATTTTTGAAAATGAAATGTTAAGCGTTAAAATGATATTTTAAAAATAATACAGGTACATTTATTAAAAAGAAAGAAAGCCAAGGTGATTTTTTCCAGTTATTTACGTTCTTGTAAAACTTCAGAGATAAGCGTAAATAATTTATAGAAAAATGAAACTGATCAGTAGACAGCAATAAAATTCTATCATTACCACATGATACGTTTGATCATCATCTATTTGTTGACTAAGCTATGTTTAACTATGCCAATTCATCAATCCCTAATTCCAGTAGTCCACATCATTTTGTAATTTTAAAATCAGTCGTCTTCAGTCATTTCAAATCATTTTTCATTTCAATGCATTAGAGTGAATTTTTTTAGAAAATAACTTATCAAATTTTTTTATTTTTTATAAAGCACATTTAAAGACTAAATTCAAGGAAGCCCAATCACTTTTCTAAAATAATAATAAGAAACACTAATGATTAAAACAGATAAACTATAAGCACTGACAAGGTCTTTCTTAGATTTAAAACTTTTCTAAACATAAACTGTTCAGTACAAGTATTTACTGAATATTTGCCCTTCGAATTCTGAACGTTGAAACAATAGACTACGGGCTGTTTATCGTTTTTCACTTATTGTTGTGATTATTTTTATAAGCTGATTTAGTTTCCGAATATATAAAGTGACGTATTCAACTTCGAGAGACACTTACACCACTGAGGGAAGTTTAGCATAATTCCTTCCCAGATATTTTCAGCATTTACAAATTTACACTTAAATTAACTAACAGTAGTATTATTGGTAAATGGGTGAAAACGTACAGTGTTTCAGTGAGCAAAATAACTTTACTGATGTGAAAAAAACAATAATCCATCACTTACTGACGGAGCTTTCATTGCTTGAGATTATGAGAGGGATATATTCATTATTTCTATTAATTAGTGGTATATGATAGTGTAGAACTAATCTAAATTAAACTCCATAAACTTGCACAAATTGCATAAAACACTTTGATTGAATGTTGCATTTGCTTGAAAATAAGTGGCCTTTACCATAACTGTGGACACTAAAACAAATACAAGTCTAATTAATTTACGTTTTTGTGAATATCTTGAAACAGTCTGAAGTGTACAACAAGGAAACGAAACTGAAAATAATTTCTGGGAACCCCAATAAATTATCCAATCAGTTTCTAAGGATTGATTGCGAAACTATTCACCATAATTGCATGAAAACAGACTCGCTATTTGTTAGAAAGGTTTGTAGGTCAGTAAATATTTTACATATGTCGGATAACTGTACTGTTCACCAATCAATACGATTATGACTACACCTAAATCATGTCATTATTGTTTGTTTCTTCCAGAGTTTATATACGCGTTCAATGCACTGGCACTATATTATTACAGTTTGTGAAAATACCTTCAAGGGATCGTAATTCAGCTGCATGATTACCTAGGTTTTTTATTCATTAATCCGAGTAAAAGATTAAATGAGTTCTAAAATATATATATACCTTAATGACCTAGAGAAAACACACTTTCTACTACATACGAATCCTTTGACTTCATAGTGGTACGTTTGCTGCACATAGTTAAAAAATGCTGTAGTAAGACGAAACCGCTCTCCTGTTCTTCCTGCTTGAGTATGAATCCCTTGGATGATCGAATTTATGCCTGACTTATCTTACAAACGTCTTCGTCTTGCATGTATGTTAATAATTTCTTTGATTTTTAACTATGATACAATTTGCAATGTAATTGTTAGTACAGTAAGGGAAACTGATTCTGATTCCATTTGAACTGGAAATCGTGAATGGTAAAAAGGTTGTCTGTTCATATTCACCTAATGCACCCTTTGACACCTTCAAGAAGAGGACGGCTACAATGAGTAACATTCTATGAAATAAATTCTCTATGATTGTGATCACATTTAAACTTGAATCAGAATCAGTGATCGCATAGTTACCATGGCTCATTATTATCAAGGCGTTCATTACCATACAACTAGTAAGATCACTTTTAGAACTGTCAATAATATTAGACTTCACGTTCGACAAATGCAAGCGAAATGATATAAAAAAACACTGGTTTGAAGTCTAATGTAATTAAAGAAAATTCAAACTACAGTTGCTTTGATGTCATTCTACTATTCGTAATTAGTATCGTTTGCATGATGGATAAAAGCAGGCAGTTGCCAATGAACATAATTTGACATAATCATTGTTATTATGATCAAAATATAAAAAAATCAGTCTGAATATTCTAAATTATTTCTTGAACTGAAACCAATAGGAATTTACTAATATCATAACATTGGCTGTATCTACAATACAACACAACATACGCCAACCAAATCACTCTTAATGGAGATTCTTTGGAGGACAATGAACGATTCAATTTTAGTAATTTCTTATTTTCGTCTGTTAATTGATGAAAACTTCTTAAATGGCTAAAGAATTAATCATATTCACCAAATACAATGTTCATTTTATAACTTATGATCAATAGATTGCATGAAATGCAAGTATACGTATGAACATCAATATTATACCACTAGTAAAATAAACTATCATTAGAAAAGCAATAGTTCTCTTGTAAACATTTCAATCAAAGTGTTTTTTTTGTTAGTTCTTTTCTCAATTATAAATAGATTTTATTTTATCAAACTTTTAACATTTTTGGACAGAAAAAATAGTAGTGAACATTAACCTTCAAATGGTATGAAACATAGCCAATTTCCTGTATACCCTACATAGACTGGTTCCGTTGTTTAAAGGAATTTACTGAATCATGTGACAGAATTGGTTAGCTGTAAAATTTATCCAGAATTGATATATTTTACAACTAACTAATTTAATAGACTACATATATGCTGAATACAGAGATTGTAGAAGATGTGTACACCGTGTATGACGGATGGATTGATTTAATAAAAAAATTCTTAAAGAACCGGTTAATTCAGTCTATACTGAATACAATCAATAAATAGATAGATAGATAGAAATATATAAAAACAAATAGGATAGTGATTTCTAGGTTAAATATGATACATCTGATAGTTACGCGAGCAGTACATCAGTATTAAACCAGTTCAAACAATCAAAGGCATGTGTGAATTGATGCTCTAAGCAAGTTATTACAAAAATATTATCATGTATGCAATGAATGACACAATTAAACTGGTTTTTTCAAATGAAGCACTTATATATTATGACACTGGTCATAGTGCAATGTTCAAGGCTTTATGACAAAAACTCAGTGTGATCGTTATTTACAAATAAAATAAAAGTTGGCCAAATTGTGATGAAATTAATAAGAGTAGCAAAAACGCTCAAATTTCCTTTCCAAAATATCAACAATTTTACAGGTTAATCTATTGTTCAATATACACACTGATTAATTTATTATTGTAATCATTATCAGATCATGCCTTTCGTTGACATTTCCATTACTTAATCTGGAAATTTACATAAGATACTGATTATCTGACTAAATATTGTTGATTATTTATTAAAATTAAGATTAAGCTTTTTAGGAAAAACAAAAAACAAATTCTTTTCAACTTTTGCCAGTTCGTAATAAAATAATATCATGAAATAATATCATGGAAAATTCTCCACAATCTTACTATAGTCACAATTAGACAAACGAAAGAATCTATTTATTCACATAGCTCATTCACATTATCATCTTGGAAAAATCTGCAAAGAGCAAAATATGATCTCTTTATTTTTCCATAATTCTTATGATTTTATACTATCATTCTAACTGAATAAACACTTAGGATTTTTTATTCGTTTATCATGATCAGTTTCTAACTATGATAGCGATTAATTTGCAAAACCAAAGCGGAAAAAATGACAGTTTTGCGTAGTTATCTTATTTTAGAGAATGAAAACTATAAAAAAGTGGTACAAGGTATATCAAATCATATTGCATGAAATAAGAAGGAATTTTCAATTATTTACCAAAAACGGAGTGTTCTCAGTAGTGAATAACTTTCGTGAACCACTCAAGCTATTGAGACAATGAAAACCATACCCAAGTGTTGTATACAGGACGAGATTATATGCTTTATTGATTTTAATATGAACAGGTAAAGTCAGTTGAGAAACCGTTATAATCACAAATAGCTAGTTCGTCAACCCTCTTAATTCTCATCAGTGGAGATATATATTGTTCCAAAAACCTTTCTCCTTTAAAGCGTTTACTAAGGTATTAGATAAATACTCAAATGAATAATAAAAAGAATATTCATCAAAATTCTTATACTTTTCATTTATGCCTCTCTGTAAACGATGAATGATTCTCACTTTTAAAAAAAAGAAACGTTGTCTTTAGAATTTGAGACTGTTTAGACTTTGAAGATGATTACTTCTTTAATTTGTATTTGTCTTAAGAATAAAACTGTTTTATTTCAAACATATTCTCTTCATTCAACTAATGATCTTATAGATTGGAATCATTATATTAGTAATTAGCATTTGTAATAGAAACAGTCATTTTTAAATATTTTTCTCAGTAATTCATAATTTGTCCTTACTAGTTGAGGAAAATATTTTATTAACTAGAACCTAATTAGGTAAAAATAATAATTTTTTCAAACCATATTCAGTCTTTTCTATTTATTTGTACAATAAAAAATTTTGTAATCTGTTAGACAACTATAAAAGGCGAACTTGGTAGCAAATATTAACCAATAAATAGCTGTCATTTCGAGGTTTTAGGTGAATATCGAACTAAAGCGAATTAAAGTTGGATTTATTCCTTCCATGTTGTTGAGATTTTCAATACACTATACCGAGACTTTTACACATAACATTCCAAACGATTTGAGCATGACCGACATGCTAAATCCCTTGTGCAATTTTCATTTTCAATCATCAGTGGTAGTAAGCAAATTATAAGAACCACGTGAGATTACATCAGTTGATTTTATTCAATTAGAATCGACGAGTTATTTTTTGGGGACTGAATTAATTTTCGTCACAGAACACATTCAATTGTTAACTCTTTACGCATCTAGAGTATTTTGTAAAAGACTATTTAAGTCAACTTCATCAACAGATATATGTACACTCTTCAGTCAGTCGCCCGCTGACATTATTAAATGAAAATTATTGCCATAAAAATCATACAAAATTCCACACAAAATCACTTTAAAAGAGTTTCATTTCACATTCATAGCTCCATGAAATAATAGTTTTATATAATATTTAGATTATGCACTTTCTATTACAATTTCTATCACTCATTAGATTTTGTCTAGTGATATACAGTTGTTCAGTTAGGTTAGACTAGATAAAATGTTACATTACTAAAGTCATAAATCTTAGCAGACTGGTAGTTCCAATATATAATAAGGTCAAAAGAGCCTCTTTCTTTTGCCAGATTAAGGAAATTAATGAAAAAAAATTTTTTTAAGCAATTCCTACGTTGTAACTGAGAAGAAACTAAATGGGTCTGAAAAATTCATGTAACACCCTACTTAGTATAACGAAAATATATGCTTGGTGTTTGGGATGAAACGTCAAATGAGATGTCTATATATATATATATATATATATATATATATATATATATATATGCTCCTTTTGGAAGTTACCTGAAAATAAAAGGTCCTACATGAATTTTTTTTAAATAAAACAATAACTGATTATTTAAAGTAAAATGATTACCACACTAACATACATTGAACATTTAACCAGGCAGATGCTTCAAAATTCCGTTTCACCTTTTCAAGTTCTTCGTTATACCCAGATGCATGACTGTGTAAATATTCAGATGAGTATTCGATTGGTCTTTGGTTACTTCCGTACTGTCCGACAGAATGTGGTTTCACATGATAATAGTAATTGTTTGAATGTTCTAAAACAATCTGACAGGTATAGATCCCAGCATCATTTCGATTAATTTGTGTAAGATACAAACTACGATTTTGTAAAATTTGATAGCGATGTTGAACATCTGAGTGAAAATGTATGTCTACTTTATTTTTTAACCTGAAAATATAATCAGAAATTGTTGATCATTGATTTTTTTATAAATTGGTTAGGTTAAATATATATTTATGCATCAATGTTATCATATTAATGTTCATTGAAATTTGAATACATTTGTAAGTATTTAGAAACAGTTTAATAAACATCTAAATACAAGTAATTTATCTTTGCTAACAAATTCTGTGTTATAAGATTTTTGAAACATTATTCTTTCGAAAGTAAATATTTAGCTAGTTGAAAATGTATTTTGGCCACCAATGAGGATTTAGAACATTTGAATAGATAGTTATCAACTCTTAACAACTACTACATCTTATGACCTACTAGGCAATAAATCCTAAAGCTTAAACACTGTGACATAATGCCCCATAAAATACAAATGGGAATGAGCTGAAACATAATTGTCAAACTGTTTGAGTAAATAAAGAATCGATTTCGAAGTTTTCATTTCAATTGTTTTCATCATGTATGTCTTCTGTTCATGAATAAACATTGTCCTTTTTTCAAAAAATCACAAATTTTAAGTGTAATTTTGCCTTGATAAGGCAGATTTAGTGCAATTTAGACTCTCGATCTCCAAATAACTAATGTTTAATTTGACATTATTCTGAACATCTCCATATCTAGAATGCATTTCAAGTAAATATTTACAATATTCACTAGTTTACGTTAAATCTACAATCTATTTTAGAAAATCACTGATTGATAATGATCAAGAAGGCTTTATTCGTGATAACTCCACATTCATTCACTTATTTTCTGTTTGTCTCCTGATATTTTATAGTCATTTGTTCTGTATTTATGTGGTTTCAGACGTTAGGACTACAAATCAATGTTAAATTACCAAATATTTATATATTCAATCAATAACTTGTTTTGTTAACTGGTAATATTCTTGATCTGACTAATCAATATGATGATGATGGACAATATTTATCATACGGTTGTTTCAATGAATCACAGTAGTACAAATATGCTTTTGTGCATTTTTTGTTAGCCTAAAATGTTTGCATCTTGTAATAACTTTAATGCTGACGGTCTATGGTTTCACTATTCAGTGATTCACATTTCTAACACCAGTTAGTTCACAAAATACAGCCATGAATATATAATTCTATTTGTTGCGTTTATCTCGTTTTTAAAACACCACAGTTGTTGAGATGACGTGTATTTAAGTTACCGTAGAAAACGTTAGACATAAAGATTATGGTTTGAAACACTGACGTCAGTTTGAAAGAGTACTGAATAATATTTTAAAGCATAATCGATATCTGTCTCTGACTAAACTCCCTTATTAATTTCTGTTAACAATGATTACAACTGTCGACTCGTATTAGCCTTATTTGTTATGTCCTAATAAAAATGTAGTAACTTGAAGAAGTTATGGTGTTTTAGTATCACTTGTAGACGAAATTGTGAAAACTATACCGATTTATGTGCTTCTCTTAAATGATAGCGGTTTTTCAAAGGTATACTGTCACAAGGTTTATGATAAATATGATATAATGCTTACCATTTGTGCGATAGGATATTGATCTTTTCATTGATTTGACAATCAAAACGAACATGTTTTACATGCTCTCGTACTGTAATATTGGTTGGTTTTATTGAAAAAATATTTTTATCTAGAAAAAAATAAAGAATATATATATTTATTCAGTCAAATATAGTTTTTGAACGAAAAGATATAATATTCTTTAAATATTTGTAGCGATTCAATAAAATAAGTGAAATATCCTTTCACCGGTGGTTAATTTTTGATTGATTTTCCTTGTAGTAAGATGTGCAATTTCCAATTTCAACATTATCAACTGTCTTTAATGAGACAACCATTGACAATACTTAAAGTAATACTGTTTACATGATTTCTTAAATAAAGTTTTGTGCAACAGACAACTTTACTCCACTTGAGAGTCAGTGAAATTTAAGGGTCATAAATTATCGGTTAGATTCTGGTTTATATTTCTTGATCGATCATATTTGTGTTTAGTCAAGAGGACTAGACTTTAACTAAACTGATTATTTGTGAAGGCACATTTATTCCATCTAATTACACGAATAATTGTAGAAATAATTTTCATAAATATAAGTAAAACTATACCATTAAATTCTAATTAATCATTAACCAAAGGAATTCAAATTTGTCCGGAACTTATTGTAGACTCTAAGTCATATCGGAATAGTTTGATTTACTTCTTGTTATATTGGTGATGAGATGTATTTTTTCTAGTTCATAGAGAGTATAACTTTGAACGCGTTACTCTGAAATTGTGATATGCAATCAATCTGTCACTATGTATTACTGGCTGATTAGTTTTGTTCATACGTCTACAGAATGAATCTAAAACGTTTTTTTATCATATTAACTGTGAGATTTTTCCTAAACTTAAATCAGATGTCATTTTTACTTCCCAAGAAACAACTATTCTAACTAAAGTCATTGGTTTATATACAGATTTGTTTGGTATTCAGTAGTTAGTTAACAAATATCATGCACATTTGTAACTAATGACATCATATGAATTTTACAGTGAATAAATACAATGATGATTTTGCTATTCATAGGTAGGTTACTTATTGCTTTGAGGCGTGATGAGAAAATGTTTGATCTGCACAGACAATGTTCAACACAATCATCATCGTTAAAATAAGTAAAAATATCTTTGTTAGAATTAAATTTCTTCGTTAACGATTTATAAAAAAAACGATAATGCTGATCGTGTTGAACAATATCTGTACGAAGCCAACACCTTCTAAGCTCACCTCAGGGCATTACGTGATGGAACTATTAATGGGAGAATCTATAACAACCGTTGGTTTAGAGTACAAACCTCTATTCAGCTCTGATTACGTTGCATCGACAGAATCATACTGCAAATTCTTCTATATGGTAAAACAAGTGGGATCGGAAAGAGATTGAAACAAACATCCTTAGGCTGTAGTGGATATGTAACTTGAATTCTGTAATATTTGCATTCTCATATTATTCTGTGGCCTTGACACTCCTTTCACTGCGTTTTTTAATTCTTAGTATTGAAATTCTTATCACTATATTTTCCTGTTTCCATTAATAACGGGTTATTATTAACATTTAATTGTAATTATTATCCGCTAATTATCGCTAGCATGTTTTGTTTGTTTTCCGCCATATTTTTCAAGCGTAAAATTATCCCTCATATTTGAAATTATTCTTACTTGCATTCTCTTTGTTTACCTTTTAGTTATTACGCAACCGTATTTTGATATCTCTGGACACCTTAGGATGCATTTTCCTTTAATTTTTCAAAAGATTTAAATTTGTTGAATCAAAATAGATTGAAATGAACAACTTTAGTAAATCATACTACCATGAAGAAACGCTACTTCAATGGATTCACTTTGTTCTTTCTTGAAGAACGCGTAATCATAGTGTCACTTCAGGATAAGGATGCGTAACTAGAAACTCAAATTGCTATTAGCCATGGTTGTTGAATGGTTGCTTTTGAAATTCACCAAATGAATCTCTCTAATTGATGAAAAGACTTCACTTTCACATATAGAAACTGATGATTTTGCCCATATTGAAATATAGAAACCTGGACAGAGAATTATTCTCCAGTTTATGATTAGCCATTGCCAAGTCTGTTACATGTAGGACATTAACTAATGTCATTATATAATAATGATAAAAATGATAAAAACTATTTTATTTTAATTTAATTGTTGATCACAAGTTTTCAAACTCAACTCAACTTTATAAATTTTGTAGAAATAATTTTTTTTAAACAAAACGAAACATACTTTGCTGTTCAGCAGCTCACAGCATTTCAATATCTAGCTCTAACCATTTTTTGGTAAATAAATATTTATGATAGTAATATTTACTTCCTAGATCAATATGAGATCACTTCAGAGTAAAACGGTACATCAATAGTTTGTATAAATACAGCCGTTCAAAGCACATAGATAAGTTAAATAGTTACTTTTGATTTTATGTTGGCTTTGACGGAAAAAGTCGTTACTAAGAATTGTCAGAGAATGTAGAAGGTTGAAGGAGGATGCGATACGTCCCTCAACATTTACTGTTTGCGTGCGGTCATATTTTGAAATCAATAAATTGCAAAGAAACCGTTCAATGTCTCAATGAATATTTCAAAACTACAAGACTAAACTATCCTTTTAATTTTAGATACGAAATGAAATCAAATAAAAAGACTATTGAATCTCAGAGAATAAAACATAGGTGATCAGTCTAAATAGAAACCTCTGGAATACTGCACCTATCCCATAAATATTGTTGCATTATTGTACATCATGAATGGAAGTTTAAACTACTCTGATAAGATTACTTCTCATTCACTGTAGGTTATATTCATCAACACCACATATGGCAGTGATGCTGTTTCTTACAGTATTCGTTATTTCCACTTGAATAAAAAATCACAAAATGAAAAGATCATTTAACTCCTGTCTTCCAGTGATAGTCAAAACTGTATGAAACTACTTCAAACTGAACGCATTTTCTGAAACTAATAAAGAAACTAATGTATAATAGTTTAAAAGAATGCTATCGAACATGTTTCATAAATGATTTAATACAAACTGAACAGTATCACGAATCTAGCCTTATTATTATTATTATTTAATTATATTTATGGTAAGACGTTTCGATGATTTATTTCAAATAAAAAATATCCATTCTAATAATTTCGACAATGGCGCCACTTTTTTATTTCTAGTGCAATTACGTTAAAAGTTCAAAATGAAATTTAATGCGTAGGTGTCAATATCAAGGTTGAACTTCAAAGATTCAAAATAAACATTGAACAGAAATCTACTATTAGTAATGACGACACATGTTTGTGTTTAGCCTCATGAGTAAATACAAATTTATCCTGATAAACGAGGCTTACACTGGGTTGGGAAATATCAAAAGTTCAAATTATTAACCACTGAAAAAGCTTAAGTCTATTAATTGGTGTGATTTTTGCCTGTCAAATTACACTTTGAGCAGTTACTTTGATGTTTTAAAATAAATCAGTGTGTACCTTTGTGGGTTTTCTTCATGTTGTAAACCAATGATAGTTAAACATCTGGTTTAGTCTTTGAGTAGGGTATAATTTTAAAGTAACATGTCATTCACATCCATGAAGTCAAATAAGAATGACTATATAGTTTAAGTGTAATAATGATCTGGTTTTGTTAAAACATTATATCAAGTCTCAACTCCTGCTATCTAATTACGAAACAGTATTTATTCAGAAGGACTAAGTTTTAAATTGAACTGAGAATAACACGGAGTTTATATAATTTTTAATAGTTCTGTTGCAGACATGACATCAAACTAATTGATTTTATCCTAAGAAATAAATTTACATAATCTTTCTAATCATTGTTATGTAAACATTGATGACAATAATTTATAAAGTAAACATTACAGAAACAGAAATTAATATTTAGAATAATAAAATAATGCACATAAAAGTTTCTAATCCAAGAATTTACAACTTTTGTAAAGTACAGTAGTTGGATCTCTTGAATACTACTTGTAAACGACATATTACGGTAAATGCTCGCACTACCGATCTGGCAATCTGCATACTTATATAACAGGAGGCTGACTAATATAACCTAAAGAAATGGATTTTAAATGAGAAGGAACCATAGTTTGAGGAAATTAGCGTGAATTGGTTAGATACTCATTAGCTGCATACAATATAAATGTACCTTAAATACTAAAAAATCACCAATGGAGTTAAACATGTATCTTTAAATTAGAGTTGGTGATATAGTTAGTGTACACATCTATCAATATCAGATTTATAACTGTCTGGCCGAAATAATGTATCAAGCAAATACCATGAAATCCGACAAATAGATTAGAAAATAACCAAAATTAAGGTTTTATCGAATCACTCAAATAATGGTTTTCAAACATTCAGTGAATAATTTTTGATACATAAAATAAGTGATTTGAAAAATGAAAGTGGCTTTGTTTTTATCTTCTGTTACTGCCAATAGACATTCTTTAAGATGTATATAGATGATAATGAACTAAATAATTGATCGCCAAGGAAAAATATCATTCTGATTGATGAATCGTATCTAATTCAAATGTCACTAATTCAGTTAGAATGTTTATATGCTTGCAGCACACAACTCAAGCTTATTGATACAATGACAAAATGCCCTTGGTAAGAGCCATAAGATAGCGTACTAAAATAACCCGTCAACCAATGACAATCAAGGATTTTCCGAGTGGGAAATGTAAGATGAAGGTCAACTAAGCGTCTTTGGTGCGAAAACAATGAAATTCAAAATTACAGAAATGAATTACAAAATTAGGACCTTTTCCAAATGAATTCTGGGGATCTAACGTCCTAAACAAATGTCTTAACTAAAAATATTATGCTAAATTGCTTAAAGCGCAACAGAAACACAAGTTCTGTACAGTTGTGAAGAGGTTAGTCATTTCGTTGAGTAAAGCGGCATACATTATTACAAAATCCAACAAAATTGTTTTTCAAAAGTCAAAACCGTTAAACAAATACCTGAAGTAAACAAAACTGTTTACAATATTATATCTGATCGAAATATCAGCTAATGAATGAGAAAACTCTGAGAAAAATTCCAATTTTCTTTGTCAATCTTTCCAAAATCACATGTAAAGATTAAAATAACCAATGTTAGAAAACATTTCCAGAATTAAAAACCATGCCAACTTATTCTTATGTCATCACAACTTTTGCCTTCATAATAACAGGTATTTTTTTTCTTTGTTTTCATTAGATGAATAAGTAGATTTTCATTAATTCATAAGTTGAAGTTAAAATTTAATTACTATACAATTATTATTTGTGTTAGGCGTATTATCTAGTTAGAATTTATTCATTACTGTAATGACTTTCTTATGGATTGATAATACTCTAATGATATCTATCGCATTAGTCTTAGCAGTTAATAAAAACTGATGGAGAAACTTGTCTAATTCAGGTGGAAACTACATCATAAGCTAATAAAAAGGTTGTCAGATATAGTTATTTTATATGACAGTGTATCTACTTTGGTATTTTTAGTCGGTATAAATATATTCACTTCTCAAACATTTTGTGATAACTGAATATATTCTGTTGACTGAAAATAAAAATTTTGAAGCAAACTTCCATATTTTTCATAAATTAGTTTGAGCGGTGATGCAATAAATGAACAATTTCATAGTTTAAACATTTTATTACTATGCCTAATTCAACATTTCATTTTAAACTTATGTTCCTGTCATGAATATCAGTAAAAAATTTGATTTATTTTGAATTGGATGTCAATAAGTCAGGTTTTTTTTGAAAGGATTATGGTATTTCAAGCCTCCAACCCAATATATAGTAGTCGCCAAACGCATCGTTGTATATCAATACATTTTGAATTTATTTAAACCAAAATTATGTATGACTATTGACAAAATGAATTCAACAGACAGGAGAATTTTTCATAACTCATCAACTAAATCGTATATATTTTAATTGATGTTTACGTGTGACAAGTTCTCCGCATTCACATGACATTATTAGCCGAAAAATTTATTTAAAAGTTACGTTGACAACATTTAAAACAATGATTTGTCATTGTCATTATTGATTTCGATGTAAAATTTCTAAGTGAGTTTGAAAAAAAAGATGTACAAAGTTATGGACGTATTACAACAACCTTTATTGATGTTCTTTCTGATGAGTTTACAATTTAATTTTTGTGGTATTAAGTGAGTGATTTCTCCATCGAGTATTCACCTAAAAGACCAATTACTTATGGTTCACAGATTAATCCATAGATAATATAGCATTCATTTATTTGATGATGTTTTGAACAGAACTTACATAAAATTATTCCACAGTCAATAGTGAAAGTTGAGCACATATCAATATATCATAATAGACGGTAATTGTCAAAAGAATCATACAACACATCACAAGGACGATCTCATTATTCAAGTAAGGCAGAAGTATATGACTTCGAGTTTTAGATTTTTCTTGCTTTCTATTAATAACTGTCAATCTTTGATTTTAGCTCAAAAAACTGTGGATGTACCATTGGAATCTTTAATTCACTTTTAACTTCAATCGAAATCTAATCAAGTAGTTAAGTTATTCAGTAATACATTCAAAGTCACATATCATTCAGTTGAAAAGAATGAGATTTCAGCTTGTCAACCAACTTGAATAACCTACTGAACAGAATTTACTTAGTTTATATTCATTCAATAGTTTGAACATAGAAACTAAACTACTCAATCGCATTGTACTTATCACAGTCACACCTACATACGCACATAAAAATATTTCCACTACCGTTACCTTTAACATAAATTATATGAATGTCCAGTAATAAAACTTATTGCAAACTTCTCATCACATGAATACAAGTGACTTATTTCAAAAGAATTTAACGCAATATTGATATCCATAAAAATTGTTTTATACTTTAAATGATTTACTCTTAAATGATATCGGTAATATAAAATTCACCATTAAATACTGTCGATTCACACTATCTTATTTGATATGCATGTGCAATACTCAATGAATGATTTTCAGGCTCTTTTTGATAAATTTAAAAATATTTACTTGAACTAGTACAACATAGATCGTTGATCAGAAGAATAAGAATTTATAACTTTGCATACAAGTCAACATAGATTATGTTAGAAAAGTTGCTACAAACCAGTGAAACTGATATCTTTGACAAAGCATGATGGTTTTTTAAAATCAGTTTAATAAATAGACACTAGAAAAAACCATTTAAGATTTAGTTGAGGCCCAGTAGAAGGAAATGTCTTCGATCCACTTGACTTGTTTGGACGTTAAATGTTATAAAGATAATCGACCTACTCGTAAGTAGTAAACTCTATAATCTCCAAAATATTTCGAACTATGTTTGTAAATTGACGATATCCCAATGATATGAAGTCAATAATTATTGATCCAAGTGAAATAAGAAAAATCAATCAACTCAGAAATATAACCCATTCGAAAGCTAAAAAATAAATGCAACTCACCAAAAAGCATTTGCTGATTATCCGATATTTTTTGAGACATATTGTCATTATTTTCACTTGTCCGAATCCCATTATCCATACCGATTAGTTCGTAAATTCGGTTAAGTTTTTGATTAGAAATTTGAATGGTAGTACTTTCACTAAGAGAATAATGTGTAGTATCCAATAAATAAATAAGCAGCATCCATTTGGATAAAGAAACTTCATACTTGTTCATGATTATGATTATCATTATAGCTTGTCTTTTAACGATTTACTTGATAATTGAAATCTGGAATATGTAACATGATGATAAATGGAGAGTAATAACAGAAGTCACTGATTATCTGTGTGCTTTAACTGGCTACTAAACAAAAAGAGAGAATTATATTTTTCATGTCTATAGGTGAACTGAAAGAGCTCGAAAGATTTTTACTCTAACAGGTTAATTGTTGAAAGCACATCAAATAAACATTAAATATTGAGATGGTGGAGAAAACATTAAATATGTTCAGTTTCAAATATCAAAGAAAATAATTCCTAGAAATTATATATATATTTTTTAAAAACGAAAAATAATTGTTAAGTAATCTGTGCATAGTGACAGATAACTATATGACTTCACATAGGAAACAAGTATCAATGAAAACTGATAAAGTGAAAAAAATTTTGGAAAAAAACGAAACGAAACGTCTCATCAACCAATCAGAGATGTTTACTGTTCTGTTAATAAAATCTACAAACAAAAAGTTGACAAATCTAACACAAATACATTTGAATATAAACATACACAAATGACAGAAGGTTATAAGTTTACAATTACTAACACTTAAATAAGAGTTATTGAAATCAGTTATCACTTTAAAAAAATAGTGTTTTAATGCAATAAAAAAGTTTCAGTTAAATGCGTAAAGTTAAATCTTCTTTCAAGGATTAGGATATACATGTTGGGGACGTTAGATCCCAAGATTTCACTTGAGAAAGGTCCTCATTTCGGATTTTTTGTTTTCGTGCATAAGCTGGCTAGTTGGCCTTCAGCTTACATTACCCACTCGGAAAACCCTTGACTGTCAATGGTTGATGGATTATTTTAGTACGTTATTTTTGTGATTCTCCCGATGACATTTCTATCATGTATAAATGAGCTCAATTTGTAGGCTTGTCGACCTCGTATTTTCTGGGTGCTTGTAAAATACACTTTCTACGCCTTATCAAGATTTCTTGATATAGTTAGCCAGGCCGAGTCAAATGGATTAGGATAGCCTATCATGTCACTGCATCATTTATCTGCGCTCCGTTTACCGAGTACGGTGAACTCGTAATAGTTTCAAGCTTATCAACTGACGAGCATATCAATACATGATAATGAATTTATTCTACTCTGCATCGGTACTATTTTAGTTTATTGATTTTTGTTTGAATATATAAATATAAATATTTTCTAGACTACTCTGCAGACTAAATTGAGTAATTAATGCCTAGCTAACTTATTAACGTGTTTTTTTGTAAACTAATCATGAACATTTTAGAGATTGTGATTAGCAAACTTCAGAAATTAAGAGTTGCCTGTTCACAACATATTATTCATAACATCGACGAGTGAATACTTTCGTAGATATAACTCCAATTGTATTTCATCTTTCCAATAGCAATATTTTCTGTCTTTGAGTAACGACAGTTTTTAACTATCTATAATCTACTACAAACTTGATGTCTTCAAAATTCTTTTGCTAACATTGTTACTCTCTACTTTTTCTTCATTTTTGATAAATCTTAACTTGAAAATGTAAGAATTCTCCATTATTTCATAGATTTTTATTTTGAGGATACTTATTTACATGATATACATCTTCAACTTGTCCTAATTCCTCATGGCCGTTATTCTACTAGCAAACATTAAAAGTCTTCATACTAATCAGAATTTATTTTTAACACCTCCATCCTTAATTGACATAAACCCTGTCTAGGTGCTAGGTAGAGAAATTTTCTTAGTTAAATTGACTTGATATCTGCTTGTAAAACTTAAAGTGTATCAAAAGAATACAAATTTTGACTACTTACTTTATACGTCCATAATGCTGAAAACTGATGCAGAGCTATTCTTATGGAATTATAATTTGATTATTATCAACAAATTTCCAGCATAATCTATTTTTAAAACACCCTTAGATGATATAATGACAAATTTTTAATTCATAGCAGGGACCTCAGTGTTTCTATTTTAGGTAGTCAAGCTCTCAATCAACATTAATCAACTTTTCATATAATTCTCTAGTCTACGGTATATTATTCAGCCTTCAGTAACTCGAACGTCCAATAACGATGTTAAATCATTTTGTAAAGAAGTAGGTTTGAGTTTAACGATATACTCTTGGTTCGGATTAAGAATTACGAATATAGTTTATGGAATAAAAGTCATTCCATAAATTAAAAAAATGACTTCATTTTTTTCTCGGAAGACATTTTTAGTGCATTGCTGTCAATAAAGCATACCAATTCTTTATATTGCAGGAATTTCGCAAAAGATAAACTACAGTTTAAATTCAAATAGTTTTTAAAAGCAACTGTTTAAAATTCATCAAAATATTAACAAAATATATCCTCAAAACTAATTGATAGTAATTTATGAGGAAGATTCATAGCTGCAACACATGATTTCAGAAAAACAGTTGATTAATATAAATTGCTTGCTTACTGAATTCTAATTTTCTCCAAAATCTTAATTTCAACAGAGTTTGACCAAAATGTACGATGATAGAATTATTTTTCGAAAAGCCTTTTTTGATTTCATTGTTTCAATCCTCTTTACACACTCATCTTATCGAATTATTTAGTAAATTTTTACACTGTACTGTACTTATGCGTATTTATTCTTGTTAACAAATCTCTGAAGCGATACAATACGCAGATGAATGTAAACAAATCAATTACCGTTGTGTTGATTTCCTGTTTTTTCTGCAAATTGTATTTTATTATTTCTCCAAAATAACAACAACAATAACAACTTGTTTGCATATTATTACTTTTATAACTTTCTCATAATTAGGCAGTTTAAAGTATCAACAAATCAAATATTTGAACGATCAAATTCACGAATACAGAACAGTAAAGAAACAAAATCAAAATCTGATTTCACCAAAAATGGTGTTCAAATTTTGACGTGATTTGAAATTCGACAAAAATCATATATATATTCGTTAGAAATGTCTTAATAGAGAGAAAAGAATAAACAGTTTAATTAACTGAAAAAAACAATGCATATATCTCCACCAAAAATAATCAGTTTTAAACAAGGAAATTAAAACTTGGCAATGAGAACACAAGTGACAAAAGTTTTATCTGACAGTTAGCAAAAACTTGGATTTTTCGATATAGTTGAACAGAAAGATCAACTAATAATTTTCAGTCAGGAAATGCAATGAACTATTTTACAAAAAATAACTGTGAAAATCTTTGAGAAACAGCAGGTTTTACTATTTTACAAAAACAAAGTAATTTAAATCTTTACTCAGCGATTTCACTGAGATGTTCTCACCACAAGAGAGAAGAAGTGTTTGAGTTTAGTTTCAAATGAGATTCAACTTATCCACTACTACAAAATTTAACAATTGATTTATTATCCACCTGGTTCTTCATTACTTTAAATGATTTTTTCGACTGATGCTTGAATTTTGTGAAAACTAACTTAAAATAGAATAATCTCAATATTTGCGCCAAAAACCAACTTTTTACATTTTACATTATTCAAAATACATGTGTTTATTGGGAGGAGAAATTTTTATTGAACAAATACATTATTTAAACAAATTTTTTGTTTATCATTTTACTAGCCTTTTATGTTCTACATAGTCATCCAATTACAGTGAAAATCTATTTTGACAAAACCTTTGAACACCAATTCAATCAAAGCAAACCTTTAAGATATTGAGAAACGTAATGAATTCAATGTTCCACGAGAATAGACCTGTTTTTCACAACACAGTGCTCATATTTGATTAGCGGCTTTTTCGTTTAATTTTGTATAAAAATAAAAAAGGACTGTAACATGAAATACGTAAATTAATAAATTCACCAGATAAATAACTAAATGTTCACACTGAATATAACTACTATCAATATAATTCTTCCTATTATTGTTTCATTGTTAAAATTTTTTAGATTCATTGATAAGTTTGTTTCATCTGCATACAACTTTAGTAATTTATATTCAATGCGAATAAACATACAAACCATGTACAGATTACTAGATCTATATTTTTCAGGAAATATGACTTGAAATTATTGTTAGATTTAACACTGATTTCGATAATATAAATATTGAATTTTTTACACATTAAATGATTTGTTATACCAGTCGGTATTCGTTTGAACTTTCCTTGCTTTTTTTTCATTTCAACCAATCTTTTAACTTACCGCTTTTAGTTCACAATTTTGTGGCTATTTACATGGTTTATATCTGATATTTATAACTGATTTTTATCTGCCATATTTTAATAAATGTTACCGTTTGTAATTAGAAAAGTTTCATCACAAAGTATTTTCATATTCAAATCGAAAGCTATTGTGTAGTATACATTTGAGAAGTGAAAAAGTAAAACCATTCTACCTTATTCAGGTTGATCAATGACTGATCATTTTTTAAACTGAAAAAACTAGCTGAAAACTTTGTAGGCAAACGTTTTTGAGCGATTTTTTCATTAATAAAACAAACAAATAGTACTTTATACAGTTGGTTCTCTTCATAAATGTAAACAAAATAGCGATATGATTATTTCACTGTGTTTCGTTGCGTTTTCGCCAGTTAAATGCAAGTTGATACTTTTAGGTATTTTAGAATCTTAAAAGAATTTCAAATCTAAAAAATCAAATGCCCAGCCGTTAAGAACAAGATTTATGGAATAGGCAAGTAAGTGTAGAATAGGACAGAATAAGTTGGAGACTACTGGTAGGTGGCCTGTTCTCTAATAAAGTAAGTACGTAAATAAGTAAGTAAGTATGTAAATATTGCTAAGAATTAAATTTTCACAGGCTTCTAGAAATGACAGTTTAATAACAACTAATATAAATTTCATCACATATGATAAATATCAGAGAAACGAACAGTAAGCTGAACAAATAAACTTTCAAAAATATAAGATACAAATTTGACAAAATGAATTATGTTGAGTGACAAATTAAGTCGGTTGCAAAACAACTAGAAACCAAGGATCATCAAACAAATGTTCTCCAGTGGTTTGA